AAAAGAGAGGAATCTCAACGACATTGCTCCAGAATCATTGATTTCAATAAATTACAATTTTTTCTTGTTATCTGGGTAGTGAACAGTAACCAATCAAACTGATTTTGAATTGAATTGTGACAAAGCCCTCAAATGCCTCTTTTTGTTTATTATAAAATTATTTGTGTGTCAGAGACATTTCATCTGCCGAAAGGACTGCATAGACGATCTTTTTCTAGTACAGTTCTTTTTTATTTGACAAAGTTACTATAAGTGTTGGATCATTTCACTTCTTCTACTGTATTCGGGTGGATAGAGAAGCTTTAGTACTAAATCCAAATTTTTACACCGTTATTTAATTCCACATAGGACATTCAATGAATTGCATATAATTAATTATATTAAAGTAAAGTAAAGTAAAATGATTATATCCCACCGCTGGGCAAAGGCCTGCTCTGTACAGTGGGTATTAGAATATAGTCTACCACGTGAGTCCACTGTGGATTGGCGGACATCACAAATATTCGAAATATTTTGTTATTATTTTGAAAATATGCAGTTTCCTCACTGTTTTTCTTTTCGTGATAAATTAGCGATTAAAATTAAAAATTTCATTGGTGCCGGCAACGAGATTTGAATTCAGGTTGCTCGAGTATATTGAATAAATAACGGGCGTTTTCGCATATAAAATATTCTAAGAATAGAAAACTTATTTTTGGACACACAAATACAACAATCTGTCACTGAATGTCCAAAACCTGAATTTCCACCCACCGACTCGTTATGCTTTTATTAAATAAAATCCCTTCTTTCTGCCTGAATTATCTCTTCTGCGAAATCATCTTCAAACTTACCTCGTGTTTATGGTCTTTCTTCATTGTGCCGCCATGACCACCGGTGCTTTGAACGGTATTCATTTTGCCTTTTCAAACAAACACTCTTTTAACACAAACTTTAACTTGGTACCGATTTGTTGTGCACTATCTAAGTCTTAAATAAATTTTTATGAGATTCATTCGGGAATATTTTTAAACGTAATATTTTCTTATGACAAAGTCAAATTCCACTACCGATAAATGGACAATTTTTCTCAACGAGGCACTGATTCAATATCTTTTAACACAATGCCTGATGAAAGAAAAGTGTTAAATATGCATAACACTGACGTTAACTTAAATACGCATAACACTGACGTTAACTTAAATATGCATAACACTGACATTGATTTTTTAATTTTCTTTTTTTAACTGTTTCATTTCAAAATTCTGTACGGTTCATTGGAATATTTGGATTAAAGTAGAGATTCGTTAGCTCAGTGTCTATACCTCTGACCACTTCATTAAGGTAAACATTCATGAGATGTTAGTAACATTTTATATAATATAAAGGCTTATAGTTTGACATTGTAAAGAAGAAACGCATTATAAGAACTTAATTTTTTAATTGAAGATTTTTTTTTTTATTTGCTAATTAAAATAAGTATAGAACTCTTTACCGAGTTCAAAATGTGTCCATATAATAATAAAGCGCAGTAATAGTAGTAATATATTAATAAACAAGAACTCATAAAGTGAAATCGATCAAAAGATTTAGGCTTTAGAGCGTGACTCTCGGGAACCATTACCCTCCTTCGATAGTCAGGTAGAGGTAGCAGTAAAGTAACATTAAAATATAAATAGGCCAAAGATAAAAATTAAAACCCTTTACACAAACGCATATGACAAATAATGGAACATTTTAACAAAAAACAAAACAGATTTCAAATGTCTCAAATGATATCCTTCCTAATATTATAAACGCGAAAGTTTGTATGTATGGATAGATGTTTGTTAATCTATCACGCAAATACTACTGAATGGATTTTAATTAAACTTTACAATAATATAGCTTATACATCAGAATAAAACATAGGCTATAATTTATATACATATTTAATTTATACCTGTTTTGCTGTCTGAATGTTTCGCTTTCAGCCTATTCTACGCAGACGTAGTCGCGGGCAGCAGCTAGTAGAACATATACGGAAAGAGATAGCAACCTACTGAAACTAACTGATTGCACCAATTAGCGTAATTTGAGCGCCTCAGCATGATGCGATAGTGTCATATCTGTCTCGTTTTTCTATACAATACCGTTGGTTGCAAATGTAAAATAAAAAGAACGATTTTTTTATAACATAACTAAATCGTTAGACGAGTTTGTACGTCACATCGTCCTATCAATTGCGTGACAGTCCGCAAATTGCTTTATGTAAATCAGCTTCCCGTTCAATTTGTTCGGAACTCGACTGATCGTTCTGTTGGTACTATAGCTCGCGTCGAGACAGACGAGATCTGATAGCAAGCTAAATACATTGCTCCTGTCGATGGCAAAATTCGTGTGTTTCACTGGACCTATTACCGCGGTCGTCGGCTCTCAAATACCGGACAGATAAATTTGATTTCATTTAAGAGTTTCCTGTATTTACGATTTTAGACGTTACCAAATGAAACTATGGTTAAAGTTATCCTAAGAAACCTCTACCTACCTCTTCACATGAGATCAGTGAGAGTTTGTGTTTGTATGTGTGTAAGAAACTTAGCCAAATGCCACATACTGGACCCTTAACTAGTACTAATATTAATAATGTACTTTGAAATACTATTTTACTTTTTTTATAGTAAAGTAAAAGTAAAGTCACAGTGTATACATGTCCCACTGCTGGGCCTCCTCTATACAGAGGGTAACAGGGCATAGTCCACCACGCTTCCCCACTGTGGATTGCCGGACTACACATATTTTCAAAATATTTTCTTATTATTTCGAAAATATGCAGGTTTCCATACAATATTTTAAATTTTAAGTGACTGAAAATTTACAATTTCTTTGGTGCCGGCACCGGGGATCGAACTCAGGTTGCTCGAGTATATTGAATTAAAGACGAGCGCCCGGGCATCGAGCTATCACTGCTCACCTTTTTTATATTATTCAATAAATGATATAATTTTACGTTCCGAAAAACGTTGTGCTCAAAAGATAAGCAGCCATAGTAGGGCACTCGAGTATTTTATCCTACTTAGGGTCTACTTTGCTCACTTATTTGTCCGTTAGGGCTAACTTAGCTCGATATAAGGGTATGTATGACAGTAGTGTGATGAGTTTATGTTTGATACTGCAGTTATGGATTACGTTTCAGTTATTTACTAGCAATAGGAAACAACACCATATATTAAATAAAACATAATATGTAGTTTATCGCCGCTTACCGTGAACTAATGTCGAAAGTTTTTTTTTTTAAATTTTAGACAGCATGCTATTAGCACCCGAACATGTAATAACATCGCTATTCCGACTGTATTCTTACTACTATGCCTGCTGAATTGATATTTACAAATGAATGGAAGATTTTCAGGATTTTTCAGTAAACTTTTAAACTCACGTTATGATTTTGGCCCTTATATAATTCCCCTTTATATATTACCCCATCGCATTAAATAATACTAAAGTTAAACTTTCAACCCACCCCGGTGCACAGTTTTAACTTAATTGGTTTCTTGATACCTGAGCCCTGAGCTCGATTTACGACACCAGCCCCGTCGTACTGTTTATTGAAATTGCAAGTGTATCTTTTAATCTCAACAAGGATATCTTATCGAAGCGGAGACAGTGAGCGTGATTCTTAGAAATTTAATATAATAAACGACGTTAGCTAACTTAATTATAAACAGTACCTTTGATGTGTTTCTACAGAGATAAGATTCCCAGCGATGGAATATCTTTATTGAACTTATACTTCTTTTGGCGCGTCTGGTAAAAAAAAAATGATGCTTGCCATCGCAACCATTAACAATTTTGGTATTTACCTATAATTCCAAGTTTATTATTTAAGTCGTTATCAAATGCATTTAATGTCTTTCTTTCACAAACACTCTTTGTTTGTGTCAGTAACACAGGGGATAAAATCTTTAGTTATTTTTATTTTGCGTACTAGATGACGATGTACACGAAACTTAGCTGTTTATCTGAAGAATGAGCAGGAAAGCTCTGAATAAACAGTTTTAGTAAATATTAAATATTGTATTTCAAACAGTATCTGATTAAGATATTTTATGCGGTAATGGTATGGTAGGAAAGCTTGACTTTAATTGAATTTAATATAGGAAAGCCCTTGTCGGTATAAAATTTCACCGCCAGTAAAATAAAATGATTCCCTAAGTTATGATCCTTTTTCACTGTAGGATCTTTTTAATTATATCATCTTACTATAGTAAAAAAAAAGTTTTAAGACACTTTTAAAGTGTCTCAATAATACTTATGATATCGGACTATAAAAATAAAATTAAGCACACAACGAATCCCTAAACTTGAATTTTGTCTGTATTTTGTTTTAAGTTTTATAATTATATCATCATTGATGTGAAAAAAAAAAAATGAAAAGTATTAAAGTACGGTTTCTGAGTATATTTTAGCAACAGTAATAAAGAAGAATTTAATTTTTATATCTTCTTCCCTGTTGTTGATAGACTTATTCTCATATCTATTGTTGTCAAAACCTAACTAGAATTTATAGTGATTGTATCAGAATATTCTTTTTCCTAATTTAGAAGGGCAATAAATAATCCAAATGTGCATACACTGCTTTTTCCTCCAAAAATGAATGAAAGTAAGAGCCTATAAAAGTCCCACTGCTGGTTAAAAACCTTTACTGTATATATCTTTTCCCATTACATTTAAATAAAAAATTTAACTAAAAAAAATATATACATGAAATTAAGAGGAATTCACATGTGTTGCATCTTTAAAAGTTGGCGTTTGAATTTAATTTTAATTTTAAATTACGAACGAGAAAACGAAGCGAATATTGAGTAAATAACAACTTATTCTTATCACAGCACACTGAACATTTAGGCCACGACGAGTAATGAGAAAATCTTATCGATAAACATTATTTACATCACACTAAGATTTAAAATTTAATAAATTCGATATCTTCGCAGCGAACGAATAGAGAAGAGTTCGATTTTTGAAACTTTACTACACTAGAGAACCCGGAGACGGATAAATCGGGAACAAAGAAAAGAGAACTCTAAACGGAAGACACTTAGGGCCCTAATTCCGTTTGAAGTGTTGCCATAATATCGCGCCGGGACACCTGTAGATTCGTCGACCGGAAGTGCATTGATATATTTCAGGGCGCCACTTCCGTCGCGACCGGTGCGCGGGGCGGTTTTGAGTCGGCGGTCGCGAATGGGGTCGGTTTGAGGGATTCGGGGTGAGACGGGGCGCGCGGCAGCCCCGACGCCGTCACGAAAGCGACTGAGCAGCGAGCTTGCCCTCGCCCGCCATCCGAGCTCCCGCAAAGGATACCGCGACTCATACCCCGACTGGCGCGTTGATTTGTTCCCCTTAAACATTAGCACTTTGATATCTTTTCTTTAGTTCGTACCGATTCGGTGCGTTGGATCCGCCGTGCGTGATACTCGTATCGCATCGTCATCTCGGCGTACGTGCTATCGTTGAAAGAGATGGTGAGTAAGAAGAAAGAATGAAATCTAAATGATTAAAAATTTAAATTTCATATTTGAATGCGCTTTCGAGGCCAGTTTGTTTATGCATTGGTGATATATTGACGTTTCTAAAAGATTCAAAAAAAGTCTGAATTAAATAAAAAAGTATGTATGTACTTATGAACGCATTTAAGAAGTTATACTTCTTTAGCGTAAAGTCATTAAATGCAATTCATGATGGTTTGTTTAAATAACTTTGAACTATATTGGTAAATGTCAAAAAGTTGTTGTTGGTTGCCGAGATTAAATTGGTTATCAAGCATCATGTCGCTTTTTGAGGGTCGGCGTAAGCTCGCATCGTAAAAATTTTACTTACGTAAAAATTTTACTTAAACTTTATCCCGTGCTGATTATGTGTTCCATGAAAATAAATGAGGCAATCCAAACTGCGTGAAAGTAACTAATATTGTTTTGGTTGAAGAATAAGAGTAGTAGTGTTGCTCATCCTAAAAACTGATTGCTCTCGAGTCAATTATTGGAGCAAGGTCATACGAACTTCTGAACAAACTGTGTTGTCGAAGATAATGTAAATAAAAAAAATATCCCGCTGAATTTCTTTCGTTAGTTTTTCTCAGGTCAGAGGCTTTTCTTTTTCGAACCGGTTGTAGAATTTTGACAATCAATAAGTAAGCTTAATGCTTCTGCAAGGTGGTGAGTATCAACAGTATTAACCCCACACATTGGCGTCGTCAAGATATTCAGCAATAGAATAATAGGCTTTAGCCATAAGTTTACTTTTAATTTTTCGTTTAAATTCATCAAGTGGCAGACTTAATATCGACTGTGGGATTTTATTATACATGCGCACACCTTGCCCCATGAACGACCTGTTAACTTTTTGTAAACGAAACAATGGCGTAGTTAGTTTGTCCTTATTTCTAGTATTTAGTTTATGTCTGTCACTATTCTTTAGATAACTATTAATATTATTTTTAACATACAAAATGTTACAATAAATATATTGAGACGCAACAGTGAGTATATTAATCTCTTTAAAAAGGTCTCTGAGTGTATTCCGGGCTCCGATGTTATAGATTGCTCGGACAGCTCTTTTTTGAAGAATAAATATAGAATTTATATCAGATGCACTACCCCACAACAAAATGCCGTAAGACAAGATGCTGTGGAAATAACTGAAATAAACAAGTCTGGCAGTGTCGATGTCTGATAGCTGCCTAACCTTCCTAACTGCAAAAACAGCGGAGCTTAACCTGTTCGCAAGAGATGATAGATGGGGACTCCATTGGAGCTTTGAATCCACTGTAATTCCCAAGAATACAGCGGACTCAACAGGATTAAGGGTTACGCTATTTAATGTTAAGCTATAACTTCGCCTTCTTACGCTGGGAAGGGTAAAAAGAAGGCATTTAGTTTTTTTAGCATTTAACACCATATTATTAACGGTAAACCAGTGGAGGATACGCGAAAGTGCACTATTCACGTCGTCATAATCCGACACGTTTCGGTCAACCTTAAAAATGAGCGATGTGTCGTCAGCAAACAGTACAATATCACATAACTCACTGGCATAAAAGGGGAGATCATTTATATACACTAAGAATAATAATGGACCTAAGATTGATCCTTGTGGGACACCCATTTTCATGGGGGACCCTGTGGAATTTACATCATTTATAGATACTTTTTGAATTCTATTATTAAGGTAAGAGGCAATGAGATTGAGGGCGATGTCACGAATGCCATAATAATCTAACTTTTGAAGGAGGGTTTCGTGGTCTACACAGTCGAAAGCCTTTGAAAGGTCGCAAAAGACACCTATTGCATCTTGTGACCTTTCCCAGGCGTTATAAATATGCTTGACAAGTGCGACACCCGCATCCGTTGTCGATCTGCCTTTAGTGAATCCATATTGCTCATTGTGGAAAATTTTGTTCATATTAAAATGTACTAAGAGTTGATTTAAAATTAGTTTTTCAAAAATTTTACTCAGAGATGGCAATATGGAGATAGGTCTGTAATTTCCTGGATCATTTTTATCCCCACTTTTGAAAACGGGGATTATCTTACTGAATTTCATAAGATCTGGAAATATTCCAGAATCTATACATTTGTTAAAAATATTTGCCAAATATGGTGCAATATACGGCATGTACTCATTAATTTTATGGACATGCCCCACAAATCTCCTGTATTTTTAAGATTAATAGAATTCAAAACTTTTATAATATCATTAGTATCTATGTGATTAAATTTAAACGTTTGTCGACAATAGGTAACATTATTTTTTAATACATTAATTGCATCAATGGGAGAGGATTTTAACGTGCATGTAACATTAATTGCAATTTCTGAAAAATAACTTTCAAAACTACTTGCAATTTCGTTATCTGAAGTTATGGGTGTATTGCCTATCACTAGCTTTATAGGTTCCCTGAATATCTTGGGTCTTCCAGATATACAGGTAATGATGTCCCATGTAGCTTTTATTTTATTACTAGAATTTAAAATCCTATTTCTTATGTAGATAGATTTTGCATGTATACAGACTTTTTTAAATATTTTTGAAAAATTTTGTACCCGTTTATGGAAATTAGGGTCGTGATTCCACTGCCTCATATTATATAATTCATACAGTGAATCCCTACTTTTATATATACCCACTGTTGCCCAGTCACTAAATTTTAATTTTGATTTTTTAACAATTGTGCGGGGTTTAAAAATATGATTATAGGAAGTTATGAGAAAATCAACCATTGATCTATAACAATCATTAGGGTTATTGACTCCGATATCTTTATGGAATACATGCTGTGCTACTTTATCTTTAAAAGAATTTAGTCTCCTAGCAGTGATTGGTCTACACCTGATCTTAATTTCACTTGTAGTAATGTTTTCATTTATTGAAAATTTTAAACCAAGATGATCAGAGCTCAGATAATTTATAACAGATTTGTCATATACTTCATTGTGACAGAAAACGTTATCGATACATGTGGAGGATAAGTTAGTAACACGAGTTGGTTCATAAAAAAGATTTTTAAGTTTGAATGAATTAAATAAATTTAAAAGCCGCTTACTAAGTTGTGTTACTTGTAATAAATCCACATTAAAATCTCCACAAACTATGACTGATTTACTAGTTAAACACAGTTTCTTAAGGACATCATCCATGACACACTCAAACTGGTCGAAATCACCGGAGGGGGGTCGATACACGCATACTATAATATACTGTTGACTCTCAACGCAGGATAATTCTATAGAACGTTCGACAGAGAGTGCCATTATATCCTGTCGATTTTTACAGACTATATCATTTCTAACTAACACAAGAGAGCCACCGCGTATAGCATTTACTCTTACGAACGAACTTAACATTTTATAATTCTCTATATTTACAATATTACAATTCTTATGTAACCATGTCTCTGTGAAGCAGATGACATGAATATTAAATTTTCTAAGGAACAGTTCTATTTCAGGTTCTTTGCCACCCAAGCCTTGTATATTTTGATGTACAATGATTTAATTTCTGTGGCCTAGGTGTTGTCTCAATGTTTAGTTTAAACTAACATTGTTTGATGACGGATTATTACATGTATAAATTATATTATTACATGTGATAAAACGGGAACCTATTACTAACACTCCGCTTTCTGTCTGTCCGTCTGTCACCAGTCATATGTCTGTATCTTATGATGTACACAAATGGCCAGGTCCGTCCGGGTAAGTACCACGACCTCACAGAAGATCGGGAAGACGGGTTTTGCAAATATCGATGGGCGGCGGTTATCACTCAACATCAGAAGAACCGCTAGGTCGTGTTCCACCTTCTCACATAAAAAAAATATCTGGAAACGTAAAATTTTCATTCGTTTGTAAATTATAATGAAGCGCTTTGACATTCTCTTTACTCAACTATGGTTTGAGTATCGCGTTTTTGTTTTTAAAATGTAAATATGTAAAGATCAAGTCCAAACTCTGTTATGCATTTTTTCTTTGAAGATATTCATGACTAATTTTTATTTCTCTGTTTTAAATCTTTCTGCAACAAAAAAAAAAGAAACAGTAACTTTTTATACCATTCATTCCATATGTATAGCAATTTTCGTAGTGAAGATTATTGTTTAAAATCTTTTTTTTTTAATTCTTCATTATAATATACAACTATTGACGAAAATAATTAAATATCAAAATTGAAATGTTTTTAGTTGGAAACGACAACGTTAACTGAATGTTAAAGTGTATCTAGTTTTCCACGGTTGAATAAATCTCTTAATAGCCGTATAAAATGAGCAGAGCGTAACTCTTAGACGACAGATTACAATAAACAATTCATTATTGTTCACACTCGTGATATGATTTGCTACAAAGCTTTTGTAAGAGGCAGACAACACTTTCAACATTATTTATTTTTAATTAACAAAATTTTTACATTTATTGTCAAGCTGAACAAAGTCGACAATATATGCACTGAGGTCCAAACTATGTCCCATCGGCTACAGTATCCTTGTGTTCCTCGAACTCGAAAAGAAGAAGAAAATTTGGCGAAGATAATATACAAAAAATATTTTTTGACATATAGATATCCCACTGAAACAGACACTATGGCCTTAAAAGGAATTGTTATTTAATAAACAAAAAAACAAGGAATAAATACGGCAAAATTCCGTGAAGCTTAACTAACCAAAGATAAACTAATTAGCCTTATTGTCCTAGCCCAACATCTTTTATTGGGACTTAGAAAAAGATTACAATAAATCACCCCCTCACGGTTAAAACCTTAAACAAAACTTAGACAAAAACCGTAATGTTTTATATGTAATAATAGATAAATATTGAGATTATTATTTGTAAAAACCACGAACTATACCAACTACTACGCC